GTATCTGTTGTAAGAATATCTTGTATCTCTGAAATGGTCATTTTATAGGAGAAGGGAAAAAAAATTGGCTTACCATTAATGTGGTTAATGTAAAAGATTTCATTTCAATTAATTTTGGACAATTTCTGTTGGTTCATTTGTCATGAAATGTTCATACAAAGTAAAAAGCAGCGAGCATTTTCAGATGATGTGAAAGAAGCTTAAAATCAAGCGAGCATTTTCAGATGATATGAAAGAAGGTAAAAATCAAGTTTACATTGTTTGATATGATGGCAGTGATATGTTTCATACTTAAAATCATGAACAACTTCTATTGTTGTTACTATGGTATGTAAAAGGGCCCTGAAACATGACCAAAATATAGCATTGCTGCTAAGAGACTGTAGAACATGTGTGAAAGCTTACAGTACATGCAGGCTTAAAAGCACTATTGCTGCCTGAGGCAGAGTTTTCACACGGAGTGTGTCACTAAACACGCAATCACTGAAAGCCTACTGCACATACATTCAGTCTTTCAGCGCCTCAACACTGTTGTGCTATACTGAGTATGAATATTTTTTCACTTTTTTACACTATGATTGCCCTCCTCTTTCATTGTGGCTACCAGTTAGCAGAAGTGAACAGGAAGCAATGGGAAAAAGATGGACACAACCAGAGAGTCCTTTTATAGATGTACAGTGTAACTCAGCAACATGACCCATCACACGCCGTAATCCCTATATAAATAATCAGTGGTAATGACATGCTCATGGTACCGCACCAGCTGTGGGTGCCAGCTGCCTACAATGGCATCTGATTCAATAAAGTGGAGGAAGTTGCTTCAAGCACCTTTGCATTTGTTTTATTTTGTATCGGGACTGCATTCTCTATTTGAGACCTGTATAAATAATTAGACCTTCCATTCTCAAGCTAAAAAAAAAAAAACATGACTTCAGATAACCTGATATTTAGGCGGGAGTAACATCAGAAGCTACAGCAGGATGGTTCTGTTTGCTATGTCCCAAGGGAGTCGTCTCCTACTGCAACCCTTACAAAGAAGATCTATAGTAATATTATAAGAAACTGTGTTTCTATAGTACTGTATAATACTTCTATGTTAATCTATAATATGTTTGCCTTTGTAGTAACCTATAATATTATGTAGTTTTCTACAGTATAATACAGTTATTGTTCAAATTTGCAATAAGATTCGCATAGGAACACTGTAAACTTAAATTAGTTGAATTAAAGAAATCATGCAGACTTATTGCCACTTATTACAAATGAAGTTACTTAACAGGTTCAAGCTTGAATTACTTTATATTTTAGTCATAGGTGCTTATTTTCCAGTTATCCACACTTACACAGCGATCAAGGTTCAAACTCAATTTTAAATAATTACAATTACGCTGGCAGTGCTCTACTTTCTTGAGTTGTGTTTTGTGTTACTTACTACAGTAAGTAACAAATGGTTGCATATCCAATGTCTACATATCCTCTTGCAGTAATGAAGAAATGGATAGGACATGGGTCACCTGTTTCTGAAAACTCTACTGGCTTCATGCATTTTTGCTATTCTATTCAGAAACTACTTGTGGCTGGTATTTACCAAATTAAAGTTTCTCTGGCTACAGGCTGAACTGGTACACCTGACTACAAAACACCACCATGGTGAGAATAACAAAACCATGCAAATGCATTCATATTGTAGCATGACAATGTGATGTGCTATAACAAGAATAACATGACTAATGACCAGAAACCACCAAAACTGCCAGCAATGCTGGGAAGCTTTTTAGGCAAAAGACTTTTAAGTCTGTAGGAATTAACCAAAGTAATAGATATGAACTAGATTTGCGTTGGTAAATTTAACATATGAGTAAAGTAAACCAACAAAATTAAGTTAGCGCAGTGGTTATGTTCTGTAGAAATTTATGGAGTATTACTATAGTTCTTTTTCCTAAGGGAACTTTTCTGAAGTTGTTGTTTCTTTTCTGTGTACCCTTTACACTGGTGACATTTTTAGAAATTTCCTCACATCAAAGCCTCACCAACTTTTTGTCACTTTTGTGTAATTAATAGCTCTTCTGTTGACTGTAACAAGTCTGCAGAGTTGGAAAGCCTAAATTACAAGCTGTTGCACCTCTGAACCAAGATTCCTTTAGGAGCAGTAGATTATATAGAGACTTTCGTAATGGAGTCTGGAGTGGACAGTGACATCTGTAACTTTTAAAACTTGACCAGAGCAGTAAAAAGTAAATGGTGGTCTCTCTCAAGCTGGCCAGATGGAATGAGACAAGTGGAGCTGAGGGAGATGATGTGTTACATTAGCACCAAATTAACATCTCACTGGGTCTGTCAGCACACGTGTTTCTAGAGTGTTGGGCAATGATAGATTTAGCCTCTCTTTGCATTTAGCATCACAGTTCTGTTTGATGCATCTGCTTCCAATATGGATAATGCTTAGTGGAAGTGAATTACAGTTGGGGTTTTAGTGCTGTTCTTTAATGATTTCCCCCGAGTGCATGCCTCATAGGCAAAAAATAACAAAATACTGTATTTACCAGGCTGATTGTGACATGAGCTAAGCTTGTCCCCAGTGAAATGGAATGCAGTTTTGCATGATTGATTGGTGTGCTTGGCATGGCATATAAGCTGTCTTGGATGCTATTCGACTGCAATCATATTGAAAGAGAGAGGGATCGAGATAAGACCCCTTTTAAGCCACGGTCACAGAGGTCATGACAGAATACCACTGTGCAGATGTCACTGGTTGCTTTAGCCATAGAGTGAGCAGCAGTATACTTACTGACATTATGCCCAACAAGCTGGACAAGCCCCACACACTCTCCATACTTGTTTCTATGAAGTGTGTTATAGCTCTTTATAATAGCTTATGAAATATATACAGCACTGTGCAAAAGTCAGAGACCACCCTTCATTTATTTAACTTCTGGTTGAAACAGCTATTAAGTACAAGTTAATCATTTTATATATATATATATATATATATATATATATATATATATATATATATATATATATATATATATATATATATATATATAAGCAATCACTGAGAAAAGTAAAAACCAAACACAGAAGCTGCTGGTGTTCTGAGAACAGTGGACTGACCACCCCAGAGCCCCGACCTCAACATCATTGAACGTGTTCGGGAATTGTGAGAAATGTGATAAGTAGAAAATGCAACCGACTTCTAAGACATAACTTTAAAGGAAGAATGTACCTGCAGATTTGTTTGAAAAACAAAGGGTGGACACACTAAATACTGACAAAAATAGATATTATATTTAGTTGTTGAGGTGGTGTAATTTCCTGTTAACTATATGTTTAAGAGGGTGGCCTCTGACTTTTGCACAGTACTGTAGAAAGAAAGCATACTGCACTTTTATTGATTTTTACATGTTCCTATACTGCAGACATGCAAATGGTAGTAAAGAATCAATGCCACTGTCATTTTCTGACCACTTGCCTCATTCCAAAACAGATCACACTGCTTCTCCCCCCTTTAATATTCCACGCAAAAGCCGCTCCTCTTCTAGCTGTATACATTTTTAACAATGATCCAAGGTGAGTTCGCTCACTCTCAGTGTCAACCTCATATTGCAACCTAATGACTCTTTTTCCATTTAAACAAGCTGTGTGGGGAAACTCTGATTCCTTTCGTGTGCACAGTTTCCTTAGAAATAACCATGCTACATTTGACTTGTGTATTATTGATCACAGTAAGAGCCAGTTCACCTGCACAACTGCAAAATGAGTGCATGGAGGCAGTTTGGCAAGTCTGCTTCAACAAGCCACAATCGGGCAAGGAGATAATTACATTCTTATTCCTATTACTAATTGAAATAAACAAGACTGGCTTCACCTTTAGTATTAGAGTTGTCATCATAATTTATTAGCTGTATAGCAGTGTGGACATAACCGGAAGCTAACTATGATGCATTAGACACACTCCAAACAGTTGTGAGTGGACATTAACCAATGATAATATTTTGCTGGGGGGGGGGCAGCAAAATAAAGGTCTCCTTACATTCACTATATGAATACTAGAGGACATGTATACACACACATACACACATGTACCTGTCCACTTGCTTACAGATGTACATGCACACACTTTGCATGTACATCACATATTCACCTGTAAACATATGTACATGTACGTTTGATATGGCCTCAGATTTTCCTTAAGAAGTCAATACATCTTGAGGAATCACTTAGAACAGACTTCTCTTTTCTATGACCTTGGTTGATGTAATAGGCAAGGCTGTGTGCTCGTAATGAACACGAAGTAAATTTTTTCATATCTGTTATGTTCCTTGTGTGGGCTTACACTGTATCTGTTCTCAATTGATTTATTGTGCTAATAATTCTGTTCATGCCTACTCTTCTAAATGAGCCCAATGTACTGTAGTTTTGATGTCTCTGCTTTTGCTATAATAAACTCACTCTGCTCCTCCCCCTACATAATTGCATTTTCTAACACAAGACTTTCTCTGACTGTAACTAATCCTTAGAGAAGATACGCTCTAGATACATAAGACGGTCTCTGCTTAAATATTGACAGACGTCTGTTGCTCAGAGTAACTTTGCTATCTATATAGCCCTGTAAAGCAATAACGTTGGCATTAACATTCATGCACTGATCAATTCCAAATAGCACTTCTCGAGTTTATAAATGAATATTGTTGCTGATTACTCTTCACAGGTAAGTGTCACTCTGTAGTGACTGCTGTCTGATTTGCTTTTCCTCTCTTTCAAGGAATTGTATTAGTGACTGAACCACAACTGACAGCAGCACACCTGTTAACCACACTAGGTTCAGCCCTGCAGGCGTCTCCTTTGAAACCCAAAATCGTAATCCCTCACTGTGTTCACAGCAGGTACAACAGAGACAAACAAAATGGATTAGATCACCCGGGTCCAACCAATGCATGCCTAAAGATCTCAGTGTCATGTCTCTATGAGCCAGACAGATATTCAGAGAGTTCTCTTACCTGCCCTGGTTGGATGCATCCGAGCCTGACCTCGAGCAGTTCATTCTTTCACTGCGCGTCTCTGCTGTCCCCTTCTCCGTCTCCCCTCCTTCGTGTTCTCTCTCTCCTCCTTTTGGCCTCTCTCTCTTACTCCCTCTCCCTTACTCACTTTCACACTCTTCTTTTCTATGCACTTGTGTGAGTATAGGTAGTGGGAAAGCAATGATGATCCCAGTGGCGTGCCTATATCCTTGGCGTGGAGGGTCAAGTTGTGTCTGGTGATGATAGGCAGATGAGGAAAAGGATGGGAGGAGGTGAGAGAAAGGTCCCAAAACAAGGAGCGACGCTGTTGGCAGCTTTACTGCCTCGTGATGCCAGTGCAAGGCATCTGGAGGATTGCAGTTGCGAGTTCTGACTGGGAAAAGGTGTGAGTGCAGGTGGGGAACCAAACAGAGCCGAGTATGGAAATTCCCTGCCAGAAGTGTGTATGCGTGATAGAGAGAAAAGAGAGAGAGTGGATTTGTGAATGTGTGTCAGACTCTATTTTTGCAGCTTACTTGAGCCGTACTGCCACAATTTAGTGTCTGAATCTATGTGTATATGCAAGAACATGAATGGTGTGCCAGAAAGTCCCAAATCTAAATCCCAAAGCTCACATGCTACACCTTCATCCTCAATCAGCTTCCTAATCCATAGCCACTATCTGCTTCACTGCAAGCAACCTACTTATTCAGCCTTGAGGAAGAATAATGATAAAATGACAAGGAGGTCCAGGAAAAAATGATTAAAATGATTAAAACTGATGGTGAGAATCAGAGAAGATCCAGAATCTAACCTCTTCTGCTCCGGCTTCTGCTGTCTTTTCTGATGCTTGTGAAAAAAAAGTCCATACAGAAAAAGTTCACCTGTTGCTGTTGTTTGTGATTTGGTCCAAAAAATCCAGAAAGTTTGTTATAGAAGTCCTGTATCTTGTCACAAAGTCATTTTGATGCTACTTCCCCAAAGCTTTCCAGTGTTCCACTTTCAGAAGCAATTGTGAAAGCAGTGATGGCAATCCATACATGAAGCGGCAGGTTGTGGACTTTTCTGTATGTGTCCAGCTTCTGTAGTGGTTGTGCTTCAGTGGCCTGTCAGGCATGTAGAGGTGCACTCATGCATGCTGCTCTCCATGCTAAGGCACCACAAAGCCTTCTGAGCCCTAATCATGATGCTGTACGGATTTATCCTCCCTCACATATCTCCCTCCCTCCTCACCATCACTCTCCCCCTCTCCCTCCCTCTCTCTCTCTCTCTCTTACTACGCTGTATGTCTGAGCCCCTCCCCAGCAACCATTCTTTACTGCTCTCATTACTACAGCTTTCTGTTTTCAGACCTTTACGGCTTTTTTATATTCATTCTTGTATTTTTTCTTATAGCTCTGTTTCTCACACTCTCTTGCAATCAATTTTTTTTTCTTTCCTCTTTTTTTATTATTATTTTTCCCATTCCTATTTTAAGCCTCTGTCCTTTCTTGTGAAGAGCTGGTATGAAGGACAGGTCTTTCTCTAGGTCTTCTGTTCTTTTGTTTGAGTCATTTTCTCTCATTAATCCCTTCTGTACTTCTCCTTCTTTCCCAACTATCCTTCATCATTTCTTACTGAGTTTATCTGTTCTTCAGGTCCTGGGTTCCTTGTGCTGGTGACATGCAGTTCAGCTTTCTTTAGGAACTTTCAATGAAAACTATTTCTAGGTTTCCTGGCATTCTCTGAACTTTGCTTAAAGGGTCTATAACATGGAAAAACATGCTCTTTTGGAAAAAAAAAAAGATATACAGTATTATGCAAATTTAGTTAATTTCAAAACGTATCCTTCATTACCCGGTCCATACTGCCCTTATATCAAATTTAAGCCTCAAAGACAGCCCATTTCAAACCAATGCATTTACATATGTTTATTTAGCCTACGGCAGCTTACCACCACTTGTTCATGTTGAGGTTACAAAGAGTGTTTCAGCCCGGACTGCTTTTTGCATGAGGAACGATATAGGGCAGCCAATTGAAAGAAAGGTAATTTACATATATCAGTTTTGAAGGCACAGCAACAACAACACTCTAAGGAATAAAGGTAGGTTGTAAAGAAATGAAGAGAGGAAAAATGGGCATGTAAAAATATACAGACTACGTTGGCTGAGAAGACTAAATGAAATGCAAACCACAAACAAGCTGCAAAAAAAAAAACACTCATCAAGTGACTACTCCAGTGCTACATTTTACGAATACAGTGCAAATACAGAAAACACATGCAACTACAAATATGCTGCAAAGTCAGGAACAACACAATGTAAATGTGTTCAAAAGGGGATGGAGTCATTCAAACTTCTAAATTATAAACTTTTATAACTACTGAAGCAGAGCTATGATATGTTAGATAGCTAACAAGCCAGCCAAGTCAACCTTGAACGTACTGGAATTTGGATGTCTGTGGACTTCAGTCAGTGATTTTCCTTCACAGATATTCCATCTGCTTTGAGAGTCTTCCAGAAACATTTCCATTGTGTTGTGATGGGCTTTGCACTGTTTCCAAAGTTGCATCGGTTTTCTGTATTTGCAGTGCATTTTTTAAATGTAACTCAGGTGTAGCTATTTTGATGAAAGTGTTGCATTTTTAACTGTACTATGAAAAGGTCACCATTTGGTGCTAGACACTACACACAAACCACATAAGTAATACAAATATAAATACAAGAAAAATATATGATGTATGCAATTTCAGTCAACCCATTAATTAAATTTGATCCTGCCAATTAAGTTCTACCATTGTATTTGTCTACCATGTAGGCATTCATATTTGGTGGAAGTTTGAATACATAAGCCTTAGTCAGGGTAGTGTAGAATTAGGTTTAAAATTCATATGTCATGAAATCACACAGCACTGGTGGGTCTTTAAGTACAACACTAGTAAGTGTTATAATGCTTGTCTAGCCTGTCTCATTGCTGACATGTTTTAAAATAAATGTGCTTAATGCTATGACGTCTTTTACTCCTGTACATCCCGTTGGGGGAAGAAAGCCAGTGAGACGCTGTCACCACTCTTCACATCGTTCATGCTTCACAAATGTGTTTCTCTTTTTGTTTATCCTCATTCTGTTGCCTCCATTTTTCTACTGTGCATTCGGGCAGACTTTAAAGAGCTCCCGTCTCCTTTCATTCTGCGTCGGCTCAAAGGAAAGTCTGTAAATTGTCTAAAGTGCTTTGTGCACATGGTAGCTTTTAAGCAAAGCTAAAAATACACTGGAGCTATTTTCGAATAGGCCAGGTGATGATATGCTGACAGGTGCAGCAGCTAATGTCTCATTGCTTTAAACATGCTCTGGTACAACATGACATTAACCTTGCATGAAGCTGACACAATCACAGACGTGCTGCATATAAACAAGTATATTTCTACTTCTTATGGGTTTAAGGCAATAATTGTTGTATTTAAGTTATATGACATGATTTGCCCTTTTTACTTATTATTTACAAGTCATATTTACCTTGTATTAAACTTTTGCTTTTTTCAAGGTTGTTGCATGGCTGTGCTTTGAGCCCTCTTTATGGTTTGACATCTTTCATCTGATGACGAGCAGTTGTATTTCACATTTATATCCCAGATGGCATATATGCCAAGTGAATGTTTTATGGACACACTTACATATGATCTGCAACACTTAGACAAGTGTTATAAAGTCTTCATGTAGAGCAGGATTCATCAGTTCCAGTGGGCAGTCTGGTGATTTGCCTGACTGGACACATTTCATTCAACTCAGTTAGTTGTTAGGTTTAATATGTGTGCTTGAGCAGGACAATAACAAAATTGTGCTGGATTCTGGCCTCCCAGACTCGAATTTACGGCTTCTGATGGAGAATATGTTAAAGGCTTTTGTCACCCACCTTCATCGAAATTGTTAACGCAGTCACGAGTCATAATGGTAAAACAAGATGCATTCACTTGCAAGGCCATGTGCCACGGCAGGACTGTCATGTTGGTATTGATGCGAGTTCTGGGCCCCTCGGGTGGAGCTAGATGTTGCATGTATCATGTCAGTCCTGTGGGAGAGGCTGTGTGGGGTCAGGTGTTCCCACAGGGCTCAGGTGGAGTCTGCCAGCCCATCAGGTGTCTGAGCAGCAGAGACCAGCACGCCCAAGGCGACGACTGCCTGCCTTTCACTGCATCAGTTGGACCGCAAAAGTGAAAAATAGTAACAGTGTGGAAATATATAAATATTGCCATGCATATAAATAAATCCACTCTTTTATCTTTCATCTATGAAATGTGACATTTCTGAATATTTGCTGCTGTGTGGTTAGCTATTATTAGCAAGCCTTTGGTAAGACATGGCAGGAAATAAAGAAATAAAGTGCAGTAGGGTTAACTTTGCTGTCTGATTCCCAGGAGGAGCATCCAGAAGAATGCTGATAAGCCCTGGTTTTGACCGATGAAAGTCAACTACACGCCACCAATGTTTGCAATTATTCAGCTGGGAAGTTAATGATCAGAAAATATAAGGCTCACCAGGATCTTTGAATAAACTGCACAGTTAATGATGATTTTCCATTGAAAATCCTTCATAAGCTCAGTACTAGACTATCTTCTAGTCGCCTCTAATGAGTGTTTATGTACAGTTGACTTTTCACAAGTTCCGTTTACTAGTCAATTCATTTCTTGTTCCTCTATAGGTTTTTTTGATCAGTGACTTGAGATACACCCTTTCTTTCCTTTTCTGATTGATTTACAAATTGAGACAGCTAATATAAAGATGTCACAACATTTGATATCATGAAAATTTGAAAATGAAGCGCTGGGAATATTGCAGTCATTGGTTCAGTGAGCTGTGAATCAAGTGCATGCAAGTTAATTAACCATAGAAAATAAGCATCACACTTGTCAGAGGGAAAACACAGTTTCATCTTGATACTGTGTGTGGACAGAAAGACAAAAGGAACAAAAAGACTCATTTATCCAGTTGATCTGAGTTTGGTGAATTTCAGGTTGCCAGCTGTCAAGGATTGGTGGAATAAAGAAATGGTCAAGGATTTCTGGAATAAAAATTCTATACTTTTATTATTTTTTTTATGTGTGAATTTAATGTTCTT